ACTCTATATGTATTCCCCATCTTCCGCTTGAATTTGCTTCGACATTCCAATGTTCATTTCTCTATTTTATCCCAATGTAGAACCAAAAGGGCAACGAAAACCGGCGCACGAAAGTGCATGGTTAATGGTTGTAAAACTGAAACTGATGAAGCTAGTCGTTAACGGTGGGGCTCGCGGCTCTGCTCAATAGCCTGACAACTTTCTTCCANGTAAAAGAACACCAACCAGAACCACCGTACAAAAATGTATGATTTGAAGCTGTATAAATTGAGAAATTAACTGCACGGAGCTAATGGTGTAAAATACTTTGATAATCTCATGCATTGTTGAAAGTATAACGTCAAAATGAATACTGCTGATTGTATTCTCTGATGGGTCATCGGTTAGACGCGTTTAATACACCTACAGTTGAGTTCACATGAAATCGAAAGGTCGTGGAGCTATATGCGGTTTGCTGCAGCTGAAAACAACTGATCTTTTTACCCGGTTGCACCCATATGTTTGAAGTACTGTATTCCACTTCATGCTACTCATAGTTTGTCTTTCTCGTCCACAGTAAAATTAACGCCGACTAATCCTCGGATGTATAAATCTCTATCTATGTTTACAATTTTAACGTCGGCTTATATGCTCATTTTCTGTTCTTCTGTCACGGTTGCTTCTTCTCCGAAACAATGGAAATAGAATACAGAATTATGTAGAAAAACGAATATTGTCTAATCTCTTTTAATACTCATGCATCTCTCTGTTCAAAATGTGGTTTACGGAATTGTCTGTGAGTGGTCGAATATATGCTGCAGCAGCTCGACCAGTTCTGCCATACCAGTCGATAACTTGATCATTGCGAAAACAAGATAAAGATGAAGTTTCGGTGTCCGAACACCGTTGTCTAAGCCGCATTGCATGAGTCTGATGAAGTAACCGGACATGCAATACTGAGATTAGGAGCGGCGTTTTAGGGAACCACAATTGACCGCTGGAGTAAGTGATCGATCTTCACGAATTACGTTATTTGGAGCAAGTGGTACGCATTCGATCAAATAGATTGTCATGATTCGCGTTGCTTGCTGAGGTAGATAGAGGGTGATCAAATTAAGACCTGACATGACGGTATGAAAATCCCTACATAGATCGCATTAGGCTTCCTGATTGAGAACCTTGGGATCATTGTAATCAATGGTTAGAGACACTGGATGATATGACAATGTCCCTTGTGTATCTACTGGATTTTCTTGCAACCCGCAATCTAAATAAACTGTCTATTTCACCGTCTTACTGACTTAAATAGACTAATCTTCTCTTTGCTCCTTCAGTTAATTGAACAGCCAAGAAACAACAACCGAAAACCGCCGGACGAAATTGCTTGGTTAATGACTGTTAAAACTGAAACTGAAACTCATTGGTTTATTGCCATGATAATGAATCATTTTAACTCTAGACAGTGTGGGTTGAAATAAATAGAACGACTTTGTGATAACGGTATTCAAGGACTGACTATTTTAGGGATTGTCAGAAGTCAGTTTGGATGTCTACCGTCGCTTTACGCATACAGGCTTCTTGTTTGGGTCTTACTTCTCATTTGTGTTCACGCTTCTCGGCAACAAAGTTTGTTGTGAAAAGTGCAAAATGATGTAATTCACTCAAATCACCAAGGATACATTCATATGCAATTGTTTCCTTGGGCGCTAGAATAGTTGCAAAATCCAAACGGTCTAGAATTACTAAATCGCACTTTGGCCCCCATTTAGGATTATGCGGTTGCAGCCCGCGACAAAAATATATCATACCAGTTGATATCTACATAAGTTTTCNGTTTTCCTACCTTTTCATCTATCGAATGAAATAACACGTGACCCCGGTAGTAGACGGACAACTTAGTTGATAATAATCCCTACCGATCAATAGTGTGAACTGTTTAAACACAAATTTGAAATTCGGATGACCAGTTCATTTTATAGCAACGGCTCTGTAAAGGCTACATCTTGACATATAAACACCGGTAAAAAATGCACCTTGTGTTATCTATGCACTATGTACGAGCGCGCATTCTCGGTCGGTTCTACTTACCATACCGCAAACGTGTTTGCATCGGTACAAATCATCTACTTCATCTGTCGAAAAAAACTAGCTTGCTTTCCTGGGGACAGTGAACTGCCCGAGGAGTTTTATCAAAATTGGAGAAGACCGGATTGGCTATGGAATTTCGTTAGCATACTAAGAAGAACAAAATTTATTTCATCTCCCGTCAGAGTCATTGTCATTACAGACACCTTCATGGATCTATGGTTAAGCTATTCATGAACTTATTCAGCACCGATAGGACCCAGGGTTTGAGTGCCACAGCCGATTTGAGATTAATATTGATTGGTATTGATTGTTCTGGGCGAGGATTTCACGTGTACCGATATTTGTTGTTTGACTCAATTCAGCTGCACAAACCCAACCTATTTGATATGGTCCGCTTGATTCAGCGACGCCAGAATGTATCACAGCACAAAGTAAGTACACTGTTCACACGCCCCAGGATGGGTTGCGTCATTAGTGTCGCAAGATGTCGGAGAAATTTGTGCGCCACTACATGCTATGAACACAAAGCTATCGGGTTAGCGGTTCAGCAGTGTTTTGTGCGCATTACCACGGGAATCGATTGAATGAAGAAATTCGGTTGTGGCGTGCGTATTCGGACACATAACACCGGACTCCGTGTGACCGTGAGCCATATCGCTTGGTTATTGTCAGACTTATTTTACTCTCACAAGTTTATCAACTTATGTGGGATAAATCGAGTCCACGACCCCAATGATCCATGTGAATTATCCAGAGTACGCTTCCTGGTGATGTTCCCGTCTGGCCTTTTTTATTTGGCCGCATCATAAAAGCTGTTTCAGGCAACCCTGGAATTGGCATTTTGGTTGGTCCGCCTCGTTCAGAAACGCTTGCCTTGTAGATGGGATGAAGCGAGGTCTGATGGCCTGATAAGGGGTGCTTCATACATTCACGATGTCACCATACCGTCCTCTGACCCTTGTGGTGGTTTGTGGAAGTAGGCTGCCTTCCAATCGCGAATACACCATCTTCTCGCTTGCGGTCGCTTATTCGACGAACTTAAAACAGCCTTATGCACTACTAGCCATTAGTTTCATGACCGTTCCCTTGTCCGCAGCATGTGGACGCACCTTACAGCTCTGCCTCCGATTATCGTTTGCACCGCATGCGTTTGCACTTTGAGCCTTATTAGGCGCTATACGGCTTTGAGCCCGCTTAACACGGATATTAATCTAACGGGGCCTTATGTGGTTCACCGCTCCAAATCCCGGGGCTTCGGTTACCAGTTTCTCTCACTGAGCAGCAGATCATAGTGCCTATGGGGCTTTCCCCGACTGCTGTTTATCACACTAAGGTGTGTGATCAAACATAGATAAAAAAGTCGTTTAGTGAATCTGCATTCTCCTTTTGGGTCACTTAATACCAATGCATATCTGGGAGTTACGTATGATGCTCAAACTGTTCTAGTTGGTGCGAATTTTTCATCAAAAATCGATGTTCATTAGGAGACGAAGTGAAAAATAAATAGCATTATCGGAACAGAAAGAAAACAAATACTGCAAGATGTTAACCTTTATTTTAATCTCCTCATTCGCTACAGCGTAAAACAATCTATACCTCTTGCAAGTCAAGTTGTCCCAGTATCATTTGAAGATATCCGTGAATCATTTCAGCACCATTAAGGTCAACGTGATAGCTTGAAATAATAAAAGACCCAGGAACTGATGCAGCCAGGTGGAGGATAGATTGAAAAAACAATAATTATCACCCTTCTCCTGTATTTGGTCGTGTGAATTCCAACAGATAGTGCAACAACGAAAAAATCGTTATTCACAAAAAAATAAATTATCTCGCAAATCCATATTTCAGTCTCTATACATCTCTTTTTGAATTCATTCACTTCAACGTCTTTGAAGCACGATACATGTTTCGATTGTGAAAATGCCATCGGATATACTTTCAGACGTTTCCATTGTCCGTTAACGTTTTAGCTCATCTATATTTCATTTCCTTATAGACTCCTCTTTTATTATTAATAATAATACTATTAATATTATAGATAGATAGAGCAAAGCAAAGCAAACGGAATCCTTTTTTACTTTTGTCTAATACCTCCCATTTTTGAACTTCTTTGTCTTTTTGTGCTTGTAAACAATTTCAATCTTTTGGAGCCCAGTGGAGAAACCAGATCCGAATATTGTCTTCAGCTCTCTACTCCACATTATACACACCTTGTTATTTCTTTCAGTGTGGTCCAATGTCTTCAATGACTTACGATAGAGCGGACTTTATCTAGACATTCATAGGATGTGCCCTCCTCCAGCATTGTTCAGCACCGTTTATAGTCGTCCTCGTCGAAATATTTGACACTGTTTTCAGTCCTGCTCTTACAAATTTCGGTTGCATAGTTCATCGATTAGCCATTGCATAACTGGTACAGACAATCAACGAGAGCTGACAGACTACAATATTTGTATTCCATTCGGCGTGATCGTGTGTGTGTGTGTATGATTATTTCATCATGTAGTTCATTTAATCCTATTTTACCTTTAGCATTTGCTCGTGCGTAGCACCCGCGACTTTGAGAAATCTTCCGGTATTTGCTAGTGACAGAACTGTTGGTTCTCTATTCGATTTCAAGTCATGGAGATAGCTCCCTCATTGGGAATCAAAACCCACGGATAAAGCTTAGTTTGGTGTCTGTGGATTTGCATGGACTAATTCATTTGCCGTATTCACCTTATTCAACTGTCCCGTTTTGATAAAACGTACTTAGCATGAGTTCTGTATTTCACACAGGTCTAAATTGAAACTGTGCGCCAAACAAATTATAGCGCAATAATCTCTTCAAAAAAGGACACTCTCCACGGTTTGTTTGCGGACTTAATACTACCAGGTTGTCCAGGTTGAGGCAGGTGAGTTTTCTTAGAGTTCACAACCGGAGTTTTTGATTAACCAAAGCTTGACCCGCAAAACAGCCAGGCGGTGTGTAAAAACCGCAATCCCTTGAAGTCGGTGTCCAGTTCATCAGATCATACGCACCTTTAGATGGGGTCAAAACTCCGAGGTGCCCAATACACCTCGATGCCCAAACGAACCGGTGTGCACCGTCACAACTAGGAAGGTTGTGGGTGAGTGTGGTTCATACCCCTCCTCTTGATTGGTTTGGAATCAGGGTTTTCAGCCTTTGGTGAACTGTCAGTGATTCACCTACCTGGTTATAGATCTGGATGTGGGCTTTTAGTCCTCCAATTAGGTAGAAAAACAGCTGTGCATAAGTTTTATCATGACGTACACCGTTTGCCATCTCAGTGACTCAAACCAAAGCTTAAACTTTCTGTTTTAAAGATAAACTACTTGCATTACATAAGAGTAGTATTTTGTGCGCGCACACTGAAACAGTATTAGCCTCCCCACCCCTTCCCAAAGCGGTAGAAACGTGGATGTTGTGTTGAACTGCAAATTATATGAAAAACAGGCGGACCATCAATCTACATTTGTTCGCTAGAAAGGAAGTTCTCTGTTCTAAACTACTCGTTTAATGCTTTCTCAGTCTCAGTCTGTACAATCATTGACCATGAACTATCGTGCGCCGGCTTTGGTTGCTTTCTTTTCGTTACCCATTTGGATGAACAGTGGAAGAAAATCAAGAAGGGTTGAAAGTGGCATCAAAGGGAAAATTTAAAATTCCGGTGGACTAATGTGTCAGAGAAATTGATCAGATGCACGAACGCCACTGTTTACGGCACTGTCATATCACTGAGTATCTCCAATCATCGGGTACAAACATCTCGGGTTCCCCATCCAGGGAGCCTAACGAGACCTGTATGACCGAGTCTCGTAGTTAAGGTTTTCAAACCCTAACTAACCCAGTTCTTTGCTTGACCACCTTTGGCTTTCTTCCACCCACTACCTGCCTCGACGAACATCGCTCGTCGTGGCAACCTATCCGGTGACCTGCGTTACACATGCCCCAAACAACGTAATCTGTCGAGGCCGACCACTTGCTCCGGTGGGCGACAACAGTTACCTAAAACTACGCGTAACCTCAACATTGCTCGTCCGGCTGCCTCATCAGATTCGTGAAATTTTGCGTAGACAGCGGTGTTAAAACACCAACAGTCTATCTTTATCCTGTTTTCTTAATGGCCAATTTTCTGCGTCGTTGGCAGAACTGGCCAAACTGTCACTTTCTCACCCAATTTACACTCTGCTCATTTCACTTCTGTTGAAATGGTGAAAAGTTCAATAGCCTCGGTGGGATTCGAATCCACGCACGGACGCCGCCTACGTGTTTGCACTGTACACGCTCTACCAGATGAGCTACGAGGCCACACCGATACCACTGATCTTCTCACATTCGAACCACCCGTCCAACTTAAGTCGCGTTTGTTGCGGTTACTAACTTCTAACCCACGTACAAAACATCGAATCATAGTGTTGATTCACCAATGGATTGGTCTTGAACGAGCTTTCCATAACAAAATTTACCCGGTTTTGCAACTAAGGTTATTTTGACGAAAATACACCTGTATACAAGTATATGAATGAAAAAACAAAGGACTACCGGAATGCCTGACAAGCGCCAAGAGCCGCGAAACCTGTCGTGTGCTTTCAGTGAAATTTTGTCCAGTTATTCTTATACTTCTTTTTGTAATGTATATATATATGTGTGTGTATGTACGTGTGTGTCAGCCGTCTGAATCTACCGTCTGGCTCGAAGCATCCGAGAGAGCAAATAATTCATCCGACTTATCAGCCCCACAACACAAAGTTGTTCGCATGTGCTAAGCATATCATCTGAGATGAGGTAAACAAGCGCCTTGCTATTGCAAATTACTTTCCTTGGTAAACTCGGAATGTGATAAATCAATATGAATAGGAGCTCAGCTGTAGCCATATCCGGGTTGGTATTTGAGGACAGATGTGGATTGCATTATCAGCGGTATATTCAAAGGAAACCCATGTACAATTGATGTCGATCACACGTGCATGCATCCACTGCGCGGCATAGATTCGAGAGAATAATGATAATCTGTTCCAAGCGAACGAAATGCGTTCTCATGTAGAACCTTGTGTAATTTTGCTCGACGAATTGCTGCTTGCATGAAGAAGAAAAAACATGCAGGAAACGGTTGTAAATGTTGTATTGTATTTCATTCAGTTCCGTTAAAATGTCTGATTTCAGTTACCGAATCTCATTTGCAATACCAATTGTTTTGTTACCATAGTGCGTGTGTGTGTACAGACAAACCGTTCAGCTGATCGTCACGTGATGGTCTTCGGTGTGGTTGCTCTTTGTTGGACTCTAATCTAAGTCGTACTTCTCGTCGTTCGTTTCTGACATTCAGCCAATTTATCTCGTCCGGTCACCTTCTATTTCTCCCCAATCAAACGACTATTCCTGATTCCTGATTGTGCAGCGAGATAGTGCCCCCGTACGACTCAAGTACCTTCACTTTGCAAAACTATTCCATTCTTCGTCAACGTGCGGATCCCGTGTACAGTCAACCGTTACATGTCGGTGGTCTGAGCTGGCGTCTGAAAGTCTATCCGGACGGGAATGGAGTGGTTCGTGGCAACTATCTATCCGTATTCATTGAACTGTCTGCCGGTCTGCTGGAAGCGTCCAAGTATGTAATAAATTATTTTCCCATATTTACTATTTCTCGTTTTTCATTACCGTAAACCATATATTTTGAAGCCTGTGATTTCAAACTAGCTTTATGCAGTTTTGCCGCTTGTCTACCGGGTTCGAGGTTTATAGCACACATTAAGGGAAATGCTCTGTTTACTATTCGGGAGCTTCCGTGTAGTGTACCGCTTGTTCAAATCTGTTGCTCAGACAGACAGACAATTGCATTGCTACATGATTGACCGATCGCACATCTGACCACACACACGGACTTCCTCGATGGTTTAGAAATGAAGTATGATTGCTCATATCTGGCTCAAAAGTTCATCTCTGATCCAAAATTGCTTTATAAGCATATCAACTCTACAAGGAAGGTGAAATGCGGAATGTCAGCATTGAGATCGTCTGGGCATGTTTCAACCACTACTCTCGAAGCAACAGAGTTCCTAAAAAAAACAGTTCGATCAGGTGTTTACTGCAACGACACACGAAGCATTACAGATTCCAAGCAAACTACCCTACATACCGTATCCGTCACTGGCTAACATGGCTTTTGACAGTGAAAATTAAGAGCAAAACTACTAACTTTGCGTTGGAATTCATTCCCAGGCGCAAAAAACAATCATCCCCGGACCCTGATGTCGCTAGCCCATAACATTTCCGAACCTCTGGCTGTTCTTTACCTAAGGATGTTCAACCAGACAGTAATTCCGCAGGCATGGAAGGAAGGGGTGATTTCCCTCATTTACAAAGTCGGATCTCGCAGTGATCCTGCCAACTACCGCCCTGTTACAATTCTTTCGATATTGTCGAAAGTCATGGAAGCTATTGTGGCAGATCTGTTGATGGAATATCTGGAGAAGCATGAGCTTTTGTCTCCAACTCTGCACGGATTTCGACAAAAGCGTTCGTGTCCCACAAATCTACTTCATGCATGGGATCAGTGGACAAAATCCGTCGATACAGGTAGGCCGTTGGATATAGTTTGTTTGGACTTCTCCAAGGCATTTGATCGAGTAAACCACCAAATTCTACTGCGAAAACTCTACAACTACGGAGTAAGAGGTTTGGTTCTGGACTGGATCAAGGAGTTTCTCCGACAAAGGACCATATCAGTTCGTGTTGGTCATTCATTATCAGAGCCTATCACGGCTAACCGGGGGTTACTCAAGGATCCGTACTGGGGCCGCGTCTCTTTCTGGCATTTATAAACAACCTGCCACATGTCCTTGGGCCTAATACACTGTTATTTGGAATCCATGGTTAAACCGCGACAGGAAGGTTCTAGAACGTCCGCAAAGGCTAGCAAAAACACTGGTAAAAGGGTCTGTATAACAAGACCTACTCCGAAAGACTGCAAATATG